CATCCGCTAGCATGACGTGAGCGTCAGCGCTGAGTTCTGCTAAAGCGGGCGCTTGAGCGGCGGTTTGACGCTGTTGTCGTGCTGGGTCCCGTCGCTCTCTGAGAGTACCTCTTGCTCGAGGGTGTTGAAGCGCACACCCGAGTGCTCGCCCTTCTGCTGCGACCCCAAACACGGGAAGCAGAGGAGGCGCTTGAAGGTGTCGCGCATGTCCTTGTCGCGGTAGGAGTAGATGATGGGGTTCATGAAGGAGTTGCACTCGGCCAGCACCAGGAAGAACTTCTCGTAGGTCAGGACGTCGCAGGACTCACACAAACCGTCCAGGAGAAGCAGCACCAGCCCCGGCGTCCAACACACCACGAAACAACCTGCGGTACATCGGCAGAAACACACACAGCCAAGAGGTGAACATGTGGAACATCTGCACACGAATATAAATGTCTGGGATTCGAGAACATCCAAAAAACAAGAGTGTGTCTTTAGAGAGCATCATGCATTTGCTGAGAGCGACAAGAGGCTGTAAAGGAAAGCTGTGCAGAAAAGCCTTATATATAAAGATGAGCCGGACATGTTCGATGCAAACGAAGGTAATTTAACATATGCAAATTGCTATTTTTTTCAAATGAATGCATAGAATCAGAAAAACGGTCGCTCCTTCAGTATTCACAAAATTCATTAACATTAGAATAAGAACAAATTCCTGTGTGTGACAAATTGCTGTTGTTTCTCTATAATGATGAAATTAACTATAATTACAACTGTAATCATAATAAATATGATAACTCTAGTGATGACTACAACAATGAATTTAGTGACAACTGTAAAAATAATAAAATAATGTTAACGTAGGGCTGGACGATATGGCATTTTTTTCTCAGAATTCTGAATTTGCATCTTGAAGTTCTGACATTTTTTCTCGGAATTCTAAATTTACATTTGGATTCTCCGAACTCTGAGCTTACAAGACTTTTCCCTTGGGATTCTGGGTTTCCATCTCACAAGCCTGGCTTTTTCTCGGAATTAAGCATTTGCAATTCAGTTTTTTGTTTATGCTACAGGATAAAAATAAAAAGGCGACTCGCCTTTTTAAAAAGCAATTCGAAGTATCTTGGAACTGCAAGGTCTCACTCAGAATTGTAAGAAAAAAAGTGGCAATCACCTTTTCTGGCAGACACAAGCTTCCATAAAAGGTAGTGTTAGTGTTTGTACAAATGGCGAAGCAACAGCTTGTTGAACGCTAAAATGCCCCTTTACTACAAAAGTATACAGACAAACACTTGTTTAACAGCTAGACTATAAGATTTGTTGCACATCCGCTAGCATGACGTGAGCGTCAGCGCTGAGTTCTGCTAAAGCGGGCGCTTGAGCGGCGGTTTGACGCTGTTGTCGTGCTGGGTCCCGTCGCTCTCTGAGAGTACCTCTTGCTCGAGGGTGTTGAAGTGCGCGCCCGAGTGCTCGCCCTCCTGCTGCGACCCCACACACGGGAAGCAGAGGATGCGCTTGAAGGTGTCGCGCATGTCCTTGTCGCGGTAGGAGTAGATGATGGGGTTCATGAAGGAGTTGCACTCGGCCAGCACCAGGAAGAACTTCTCGTAGGTCAGGACGTCGCAGGACTCACACAAACCGTCCAGGAGAAGCAGCACCAGCCCCGGCGTCCAACACACCACGAAACAACCTGCGGTACATCGGCAGAAACACACACAGCCAAGAGGTGAACATGTGGAACATCTGCACACGAATATAAATGTCTGGGATTCGAGAACATCCAAAAAACAAGAGTGTGTCTTTAGAGAGCATCATGCATTTGCTGAGAGCGACAAGAGGCTGTAAAGGAAAGCTGTGCAGAAAAGCCTTATATATAAAGATGAGCCGGACATGTTCGATGCAAACGAAGGTAATTTAACATATGCAAATTGCTATTTTTTTCAAATGAATGCATAGAATCAGAAAAACGGTCGCTCCTTCAGTATTCACAAAATTCATTAACATTAGAATAAGAACAAATTCCTGTGTGTGACAAATTGCTGTTGTTTCTCTATAATGATGAAATTAACTATAATTACAACTGTAATCATAATAAATATGATAACTCTAGTGATGACTACAACAATGAATTTAGTGACAACTGTAAAAATAATAAAATAATGTTAACGTAGGGCTGGACGATATGGCAAAAATTTATATCACGGTATATTTCTTAATTTCGGTCGATACGATATAATTCCGATATCGATATGAACATTATTAAAAAAAGCCTAGTAAAAACTGCCAAGAACGCCACAACAGATGTCTGTGCATACAAACTTATGAAAAATGAACTTGCCAAGTCTCTGACGCCTCATATAAAACCATATAATATTTTAGAAAAAAAAGAAAAAGAAAAACAGCACAAATAAATTAATGTTCACCTTTTATTTGTATTTAGCCTTCATTCAAACAAGAAATGTGAAATTCTTTCAATCCTGCATTTTTTAAAATCCAAAATACAGCGAAAACCGTAACATTTTGAAATATATTTTAAAATGTAATTTATTCCTGTGATTTCAAAGCTATATTTTTAGCATCATTACTCCAGTCACACGATCCTTCAGAAATCATTCACATTTTCTGATTTGCTGCTCAAAAAACATTTAGTAAAAAATATTTTCATTTTTTTTTTTGCTGTACTTTGGATCAAATAAATGCAGGCTTGGTGAGCAGAAGAGAATTAAGTGCAAACTGATTGTCTGCCAGCAGGAGGCGCTTTAAGAGCGGAAGAACTAGCGGTTTCTCCGATAACGGCTGTAAACAAATCAGCTGCGCTCATGAACACTTCTTTATTAGATCAAAAGTTTAAAAACACTATAGTTTTAAAATTAAGAACACGGAATGTAATAAATAAATCAAAAGTAGGTCATTACACAAATCAAATCGCGATATCGACTAGAATCTGTAAATATTAAGCCGCAAAAATATGCGTGTATTAAATATGTATGTATGTAAATGTACATACTACTACTACTTCTACTACTAATAAACTTATTAAAACTTTATTTTTTAAGGAATAATCACACATTTCTTCCATGTTTTAATTTTAATGTTTGCAAAAAAAATAAAGTTTGTATCATTCTCAGTAATTAAAAGATAAATAAATGAAATTATTTTATGTCTTCATTTGATATCCAGTAAAATTAAAACACACAACAGAACTTCTGAGGAAAATAAAAACATTTTCTAAGACTATTGTAAGAATACATTTTTATAAATTAAGTTGTTTTTACGCATTCAAATAATTAGACATGCTACAACAGCATTTGGTAGCAATAAACCTATGGTGAGAAAAAATTAAATATGGCCCTAAACATGTAATTTTTATTAAACTTTTAATAAACTGATGTGAAATTATGTAAGTTTCATGATTTTAATTAGATAGACATGCTTTTTGATTAATACAATTCAATTTAACCATTAAAAAGGAAATTAAAAAATTAAACTGATTTCATAGGGCCCTATTTTATTATTACATTTCATTTTATTTGCTTTGTCTACATATATGAAATATCCATTTTATAAAAGCAATAATCCCCGTGAAGCCGTGGTTTACAGTGATTTTATAACAGCTGAGGGGGTTTTAGGCACTCCTTAGCTGCTATAAATTCACTGTATTGCTTTAGTCAAATGATAAGATTGGCTAAGTCAGAAACGAGGTCTTACCCAGGATCATGACGACGGTCTTCATCAGGTTGACCACGGTCTCCTTGTGCTTGGCCTGCGAGGTGTGCTGGCTCATGCGGTGGCTCTTGCGGCGCACGTAGATGAAGATGCGCGTGTAGACGGCCACCATGACGGTGAAGGTCAGCAGGTTGAGCACGGCCCAGAACACCAGGTAGCTGCGGCTGTAGAGCGGCGCCATGTTGGAGCACTGCTGGAGGTTGCAGACGCAGCTCCAGCCCATAGAGGGCACCAAACCCAGCACTATGGCGATGAGCCAGATGCCCACGATCAGCAGCACCACCCGGTGGTTGGTCATCTTACTGTGCAGCTGCATGGTGAAGATGGTCTGGTGGCGCTCCAGCGCGATGGCCATCAGATTAATGACGGACGCCGTCAGACTGGTGTCGATCAAACCCTGAGAGACAGGAGAGCAGCGTTTACACCAGAGCTGCTCCTTCATGCATTACACGACCTGCCCACTGCACCTTCCGTCGACCGCTTTTCATACAGAAATAACAACTATTTCGTTAAGTTGAGAGCATCTGCGCCAAACAATGTTTAATATAAGAGGGTTTGTCTTTGCTTGATTTATTGTAGTTTTTCATTAAAAATAATGAACCGCAAGCTAAGTTTTAAAGTATGGAGGGAATCCAAGGATCGTTTATTTGCGTTACAAATAAAGCCGTTTATAAAAGTCTTGAACAAAAAATATTTATTGAGAGTTAATTTCCTTGTTTCCGTTTTTATTGAATTGCGGTCACAAATCCAGGATTCGTTCCTTCGTTTTATTAAATTGCCGGCAAGAATGCGGATTCATTCACTCATTTTATTGAATCATAGCCACAAATCCAGGACTCGTTCCTTCATTACATCGAATCGTGGCCAAGAACGAGGATTCATTCACTCATTTTATTGAATCGATGATTTGTTCTCTCGCTTTATTAAACTACGGTCACGAATCAAGAATTTGTTCCCTCATTTTATTGAATTGTGGCCACAGTGTTGCAGTAATTTGCTCCCTCATTTTAATTAAATCAAAAAAACGAGGGAATGAATTAGTACAACATGGCCACAATTTAGTAAAATGAGGGTAAGAAGGTCATAGTAATGAATTCTCAATTTGTTGCCACAATGTTTGTTAATAAAAGCTCTGTGTTCAATGTAAGGGAGTTTGTCATCATGCTTTTTTATCATTGAATCCACCATTTAAGCATTTGTTTGGTTCAAAGAATGGGAAAGATATGAAGAGCTAACGTTCAAGATCAAAGTAAGTGCTACAGTATCTTATCTTGTACAAATATCTGATTATGTCCCAAATCACGTACTACACACTATATACTATGTACTCAATCGTCTAGTGCAGAGCTGCACAAACTTTTTAACACAAAGTGCCAAAAACCTGAATATTGCATTATAGCCAACTAGTCTATATTATATTAAAATGTATTACATTTACAATTTACATTACATTTTTAAATAATTGAACAAAAATGGCAGCTGTGCTTGCCAGAACTACTGTACAAAAAAGGGTGGGTTTACAGATTTAAGTTACATTTACAGTAAAAAAAAAAAAAAAAAGTATTTCATTAACTGATATAATGCTAATACACCAATCTACCAAAGTGCAAAAAAAAAATCACATTTATAACACACTTGACAACCACCAAAATCACAGGTGGTAAAGAGAAAACCACATGAGGAATCAAAACTGCAAGCCAATCGCTGCTTTGCTGATCGTGGTTATGAGTAACGATACATAGCCCCTTTTAAGCCAACCCATGAACGTGCAATTATCTCAGATAACTCAATCCAGCCAGACTAATCATCAACAGCAGCTGCGTTCAAAGAACCGAATTAGCCAGATCCTGATTAGCGCGATCATCTCGGATGTGATAAGCGACGTACAAAGAACCGGCCCCAGATCTCCACTCAGCCCTGTTTACGCCTGGCGTGTGGAATGAAGTAACAAAACGTTCTTCCGCGACTAGAGGAAGCGCTTTTGGCCTTCAGCGGCACGTGAAACTAGAAAAGCTGTTGTTCTTCTGTAAGTCTTGATACTGACGTGAGAGTCACACTGCAACACCCTCATCGTGACACCTGAACCGTCCTGAACCGGCTGAAATCTGGCCTTTTACACTTCTGCAAACGCTGCGTTTTCCATTTTAACCGATTAAGTTACGGTCCTCAAAAAACATATGTAGACAATTGAATTGATAAAACTTTAACAACTTAAATTTTTTTTAAATATAACCATATCATAAAACATTTTTGGTCAAACCGTTGCATAAAGGGTTTTTATTTTTTTATTATTTCTTATAAATAGTAATACATTTCATAATTTCCTCAAGTTAAACCAGACTTTTATTTTTGGCAGTTTGTAGTGAAGGCCTTTGAGTTTCTGTGCGTTTTTATCAAATGAAGTCCCATCGCGGATACCATTGGGTTCTACATGATTATCAGCCAAGACAGCAGGTCTTCTCCCAGAATTCCTTGCAGGAAACAGGAAGTGCTGCACATCCTGTTGATCAGCCAGCTGTCCTGCTTCATGCATTTAACCCAGGAATATTTTAATGAACATAAACACTTCCTCCCTCAACTCGTCTATTCATAAATTGTTTTAATTAATGTTTTGAAATTGCATTGCATTTTTATTCCTTTTTTCCCAAATAAAATGCTAATCAATAAATATAAATAAAAAGTTTTCAAGTTAGACAAAACTTTTATTTTGGTTCTTTTCTGCCCTGCTTCATACTGGCTTAAAACGTATTTAACCCATGAATATGAACACTTCATCCCATAATTGTGCATCTAAATAATTTAATTCATGTATTTTTAACCATTTAATCTATCTTTTTAAATGTAATAAAATAAAGCAAGAATTATTTCACAACAAAACTTATTTTTTCATAAATTGTTTTAATTAATGTTTTGAAATTGCATTGCATTTTTATTCCTTTTTTCCCAAATAAAATGCTAATCAATAAATATAAATAAAAAGTTTTCAAGTTAGACAAAACTTTTATTTTGGTTCTTTTCTGCCCTGCTTCATACTGGCTTAAAACGTATTTAACCCATGAATATGAACACTTCATCCCATAATTGTGCGTCTAAATAATTTAATTCATGTATTTTTAACCATTTAATCTATCTTTTTAAATGTAATAAAATAAAGCAAGAATTATTTCACAACAAAACTTATTTAAATTTTTTTGTCAAAGTGCTGAACAATAAAGGTTTATCATTTGTATTGAAATGCATTTTCTTTAAGGTAAACAAAACAAAAAGTCTTGCTTTATACTGACTTAATGTATTTGATCTGGGAACATGCAACAAATATAAGCGCTTTTGCGCACAAAAAGCATTCTCGTAGCTTCGTATAATTGCGGATGAACCACTGATGCCACAAGGATTATTTTCCAGATCTCCTCGCTACGTTTCTGGACTTGGGAACACTTCAGTTGCGTTGCTGTCTATGCGGATTTCATCAAAAATATCTTCATTTGTGTTCTGAAGATGAACGAAGGTCTTACAGGTTTGAAACGACACGAGAGTGAGTAATTAATGACAGAATTGTCATTTTTGGGTGAACTAACACTTTAACCACATTGGAATCGAAACAGGGAATCGATCAGCAGAATCAGAATTGATCGTTTAAACGATGCCCAACCCTAATTTTTTTATTAACTTTTTTTTTGTAAATAAACCCTTCCTGTGAGTGTGTCCGGCATCAGAATCTCAGTGCGGTTTCTATCACACACCCAGTCAGGGTTTCTCCACCGAACACCCAGCGCTCCAGGGGCCTCACCTGCCGCACAAACCACCCATGGATGGAGAGCTTGCTGGTCCAGGGGCCCGTGTGGAACATCAGGTACAGGTAGGAGATGCCGGAGAACAGGTCGGCCGCCGCCAGGTTCCCCAGCAGGTAGTAGATGGGGTAGTGGAACCTGCGGTTGATGAAGATGGCCAGCATGACCAGGATGTTGGCGAAGATGACGAAGGCGCAGACCAGCAGGCCCAGGGACACCACCACCACGTCTTTGGGCCTCCACGTGTCGCTGATGCTCTTCTTGCTGAGGTTGTAGAAGAAACTCACATTCGCGTTGTTGTGGCAAACCATGGCGAAGCGCGCGATTGGACGGGACTGACTGGAGGGGAGGGGCTTCACGGGTCAGGGGTCACTCATGGAGGCATATGGAGCCGTGCACTTCGGCAGAACCAGAACTACTGCGACCGAGGAGAAACACAAGAGATCGTTAGTCATGCTTTAATCGATCAGGCCGGGGGAACCGCTTCACCAATCAACACACACGCTGGAAACTCATATAATGAACCCTAACAGTGTTTAATGAGCATTAGGATTTGTGGCGTTATTTACATGACAATTAAAGCAGATTACAGTGCTTTACTGTTGGGTCACCGGGGATTCTCATTACTGTAGGACAATTATATACTTTTGCATTAAAATTTATAGACTTTTTATATGTTGCATAGAGAATAGGAACGCTGTTTTATGAACATAAGGATTTGTGACGTTTTTATGACAAATAAGCACATTTTTAGGACATATTTCCACTAACTAAATACATCTGTGTGACTAACAGCTGAACCATTATTAATTACCGTTTGGTCATTTTACATAACATAAAAATAAAGAATTATATAAATACTGTTTATAATTATAAAACCATATAAATACTTAATTTAAATAACAGGCCTTGATCTTCATCTTTCTTGATCCTTGATTTATAATCTCTCTCTCTCTCTCTATATATATATATACACTGTATTATGATAATAAAAATTTGGCAAAATATATTTGTCACCTATTATAATCTGCATAAATAAAATGAAGAATGCCTTATGATGATTATTAGGATTTGTGACATTATTTTGAGGACAAATGAGAATATTCTCCCACCATATCGTGATGTTTTACCATTTAATAATCGTGATTAATGATTCTCATTACTGTAATGTAATGCTTCTTTTAAAGTAAAGAAAGTATAATAAAACTATGACATAAAAATGTTATTTAAATAATAGGCCTAAATCTTTTCCTTTACATTAACGAGAATGAGGCTTTCTTTCTATCACGGCAATACAAAAACGGCAAGAAAAACCATCTACAGTATGCTTTACTTGCAATATACTGTATTTTATTTTAAAGTCACATAATTATAATGTGCTTAAAGAAAATGAACAATGTTTTAGCTGAGGCAAAACAGTTTAAATGTCATGAAGTAAAAAAAAATTAACATTTCGTGGCAGTTTTGTGAGATTCACGAAAGTCTTGACAAAAGATGAGGAGTCTGAAAACTGGTTAAATCCCTCGCACTAGAGATCATCTGCTGTGCAGAGAAACATGACCTTTACACAAAACCAGAACAACATTTCACACCGAGCGGCGCTTAACCAATCACAGCGCACGAGTCGGCGCTCCCGCGTGCTGATTGGACGCTGCGGCTGTCAATCACCCCAGAGCAGAGGGTTTCCAGTAACTCTCCACAATCATCTCACAAACCTCTGGTTCAACCCCCACAAGGCCAAACGTGTGCGTAACCATCCGTCAGCTCAGAACACACAACATTCACCAGCTACTAACTAACAGTGTGTCCGAGTTTGTGAAGAAACTCAAAAGTAGTTCAGCTCGTGCTTCATGAGAACCTCACACTCACACACACACACACACACACACACACACACACACAC